TTCAGCTAGGTAAGCTGCAAGTGTTGGAACTTCTACCTCATAGCAGCTCCTCATCTGTGCACATATGCAGATTAGTCTAAGCCTAGGACCTGGCTGCATATTTTGGAGTGATTTTTTTTTTTTTTTTTTTTTTTTTTGCATTCTCTGAATATTGCTACTGCCTCTCTGACCAGTTTCTGTTCCCCAGCCTAACAAGATGTCCCCACTCTGCTGGGTGCTCATGGTCTGGGAGCTTTTTAGGCAGCAAGAAGTACAGTAATAGTGTTCGCCTTACTTGTCCCCCTTTCTCGGCAGTCTCCAACTTACATCACAGACTGATGTCCAGACCTTGAGTGTAATTCGGCTTTACCACAGCCTTTTTGATTGTTCAGCACAGACTTACTGCCTTATTCCAGTTCTGTGGTGACCTGTAGGAGGAGTCCTGTGTGAGTTCTTATTTTTGTGTATTTTCTTCTGTGTGTATGTGCTCATTTCACATCCTAATCCTTCACCAGTTTTTCTTTTTATTGTCTTGTGTTTTTCAGATAGATGCAGTTATATCATCTACACCTGTAGGTGGATATTTCTTTTGCAATTCTCAGTGTCTGGTTTTCCCAGTAAATTGGCTGATATGGGAAACTGGTGGGTACATCCCCCAGTCTTACTTTTGGTAGAAAGCTCCCTCCTTGAGGAGGGCACTTGCATTATTTGCTTTTATTTCATAGATTTTGGAGTGATTTTCTTGAGCGTCCAGCCTGTTGAGAGCCAGGACTTTGCATATTAGTCTTACCTGCATGTCAAGTACTCTTTATTTGGGTAGATGAAGGCTGAATGTCCCTGTTTCTGTCATGTTCTGCTCTATTCCCCAAGGCTGCAAAGTAACAGAACCCAGCTGTATACCATTGTTCTCCACAGCTTCTTCCCTCAGCATCCCCCGTCTCAAGAGCAGGACCTTGTGGACTGTGTGTGTGTTAACTAACTGCCATACATACAGTGGTTATTAGTCAAGAGTTTTAGCTACTGAATGAAAAGAGAACGGAAAGAAAAAAACACCAGATGGAAAGACCATAAATGTAAGCATTATTTATGACACCACTAGTATATACAAGTGAGCGAGCCCAGTCTTTTTTTTTTCCAAGAACATATATGCTTTAATAGAATATAAAGACATAGGGGAGAGTCGCCAAACAAAGGGATGCCACAGGGAGCCGTACAGGGAAGAGGGCCATCTGTGATGGTCTGGTGTCTCTTGGAGCAGCTGGCTTTTTTCCTCCTGCCTTTGGGAGGATGTACTCAAAGAAGTGTGTTTGGTTGTTGCCTTAGTTTCTTTATTTTTTAAAAAAGTATATTTATTTTATTTTTTATTCACTTTACATCCTTGTTGTAGCCCCATCCCTCTTCCTCTCCCAGTCCTATCCTCTCCCTTCCCCTCCCCCTCCCTTATTCCTCAGAAATGGAGAGCTCCCTTTCCCATCCAGCCCAGCTCATCAAGTTGCATCAGGACTGAGCATTTCCTCTTCCCTGGTGGCCTGCAAGGCAGTCCCACCAGGGGGAAGTGACCAAAAAGCTGGCAAATGCGTCTGTCTTCAACGCAGACTGGCTTCCCTTAAATGTGGACTCATGAAGCCTAAGCTGCCCATCTGCTACATCTTTGTAGGGGGACAAAGTGTAGTCCATGCATGGTCCTTGGTTGATGCTTCAGTCTCAGCAAGTCACTCTGAGCCCTGGTTAGTTGACTCTGTTGGTCTTCTTGTGGTGCTCCTGTCACCTCCAGGTCCTTTCCCTTTCCTCCCACTTTTCCACAAGACGCCCCACACATCACCCAATGTTTGGCTGTGAGTCTTGGCATCTGTTTTGAAGTGCTGCTTGGTAGAGCCTCTCAGAGGACAGCTCTGTCAAGCTTCCGTCTGCCAGCTTAGCAGAGCATCAATTCATGGTGTCAGGGGTTGGTACTCTCCAATGGTGGGTCTTTGGTTGGGCCAGGCATTCAATGTTTGGGCGTTCCCTCAATCTCTGTTCTATCTTTATTTAACTAGCCAAGCCTCACACAGCTTCTCTCCATTGTGTCATCAGTTCTCTGATTGTCAGAACTACAGAACAATAAGTGGAACTGTTAATCCTTCTTAGTGTTTAGTGAAGTGGGGACCGTTGATTCTTAGTATTTAGTTAGTGGGGTGGGAACTAACCCTTCTTTGTATTTATTTAGTAAAATTAGAACCATTAACTCCCTGTAGTATTTAATTAGTGATACTGGAAATAAAATGTGTCACAAGAAATAATTTCCTAATTTAGGTGCCAGAGAGACTTTGTCTGGCTTTTTAACTAGCCAGCTGCTAATGTGTAGTTAAGAAGTAATGATTGTTACCCTTCCCGCCTCTTCCCCAGAATTTGCTGCAATAAGGGTAGCGTTCTGTGAGCTCTCTGTAGGACTGCATAGGTACTGTTGTTACAGGAAGGAAGGTGCTGTGTATCTGCATTTGTAGTCTGTGGCAAAGTTGGAGGGACAAAGACTGTTTTCTTTAGGTTGTTTTGGAAAACCTGGAAGTAGTTAATAATGTTTTGTAGGGGATGTACCTTTTGTAGGTGATGTACTTGTTAAAATATTACTATGTCGGTACACCTAAATTAAGTTATCCAGTTTGACCAGTGTGTAGTTAGAAACAAGTAATAAGAACAAAATGTTTGATTTTAACAGAGTTTATCTTTTTTTTTTTCTTACGTCCAGAGAGGACTATGTTCAACTAGGAGTGGGTATATAGAAAGCCAGCAGTACTGTCCGTTTCTAAAAGCACGCTGATGCTCTTCTGAGATTGTAATATTTTCACCACTGAGCAGTGTCACATTTCTGTTTTCCTGGAGTGATAAGGCATGAGCAGTATTTGTTCATTCGTCTTTCTGTTTTTATGTATAATATGAATAACATTTTAAATCTGTGCCGATATATAACAGATCCAGTCCTTGTGTAAGTGCACAGAATGCGCCTGTCTAATCCCTGTGCCTGAAGTTTTCAGTTTATACTTTACCAACAGTTTCTGTAGATGCACACATGTACATGTAACATGCGTATATACATATATGTGAATGCTGAAAGCTATATACACGTTCTTAAGGGTGAGATTGGATCGTATCCTAATGTTCTGAGACTTGCTAAACAATTATAAGACTGTCGGTTTACACATTTGTATGTTACTAAAGATTTAGACTTTTTTTTTTTTTTGCATTTTAAAGAATTCCATTTAGCCTATGATATGTTTTCTCTGTTTTAGGGATGAATTGAGGCCCAGATAGGTTAGGCAGCTTGCCCCAGCCTGCACACAGGGTGGCAGAGCTGGTGTTAGAAGCCTGGCCATCTAGTCCACAATCCACAGGGTGCCACTTTCATCAGCCTGTTCTTACTCACTGTTCTGGAAAAGGATTTCTTCCGTTGTGTGTCTACCATTAAATCCACAGTTGCAGATGTGCCTTTAAGGCTGTCAGAAGCACAGCTATCCTATGTAGGTGCGCATGGAATAGAAAACCTTGCGTTGCTGCTCCAGCTTTTACATGCATTCCTTTACTCTGCTTGGGTGCAGAGTACTCAAGCCTTAGACACTGCAGTGAGACAGACTGTGGTAGTTGCTTTACTGATTGTGTTTCTTTTGTTTCTTCTGTCTTTAAAATAAGTAAGTTGTGTGTGATAGAGAGGTAGACGGAAACTTTCTAGTGGTTCTAGTTCTGTGTGTAGGATTTACATTGCTGTGCAAAAGAAATGGTGCTTATGTGGTTTTAACACACAATGCTTAAAATATGGGCAACCAGGTTTGCTTGTATGTTTCATGTCTTACACACCTGCTTTCACTTGTACTGTTTCTGAGGGGAATATAGCAGGTCCTTTCCTTTTGAGCAATATAGCTGTAGTTAACTGGGTGGGATTTTTTTTTTTTTTTTTTTTTTTTTTTTTAGTAGTGTTTTATTCTGCAGTAGTAATTCTGCACTTTACCCAGGTGGGAAAAAAAAAAAAAATAAGTGACTGACTGTTCAGTGTTACGTGCCATGACATGGTTGCGTGTTAGGAATCATGGCACCTCTCATTTATCCATCTATCAATGGTTTGAGCATCTACTCTTCTGTTCTAGGATCTTTTTGGTTTTTAAGTGGTTGCCAAATAAGCACAGACTCTGTTCTAACTCGTCTCTGTGAGCACTGAAAAAAGGCAGGTTGTTGGTTACAATGTTGTGATTTTCTCCATAGTAAACCAACTAATTTACCGTGTTCCACCCCTATTGTACAGATAATCCTTTCCCTGCCCTTCCTGACTGTTGTGGTGTCAAGTCTAGACAGTAAGTGGAGAAGGACAAAACTTTCGAAGTAATGAGCAATTTGTACAAGAAAGAACTGGGCCTGGAGCTTAGTGGTGGAGCATTTGCCTTGCATGTTCAAGAGCCTGGATTTGCTCCTGCACAAGCACAGAGCGCTGGGTAGGATGATATTCGAAAGAAAATAATTTGTAATAATACAAAAATGTGTTTTACAAAGCGAATGCCTGAAGAGATCCCATTTGCATTGATTTGAAGGAGCAGATAGTTTGGCTTTTCAGAAGTCACACTTATTGGTGGCAGCGCCACTTGGCAGCTCCCTGCACGCTTCTGTGGAAGGAGTGAAAGAATTGTTACTTCTCTTAAAGGCCATCAAAAGCATGAGAAAAAGTGAAAAGATACACAGGGCAATGAAAGACCTGTGTTACGGGGAAACATTGCTGGAACGCTCACAGTTACCAGGGTCTGATGAGACTGATGGGACTCCTTAAAGTCACCGGTAATTGGTTGTTCTTTTTGCTCTCTATATTTGTGAGATCTCTATATTGAACTTCATTGTAACTTCCAAAATGTTTTGTCCTACTCTTTTTTGTTTTGAACATTATTATAAAATAATGTAGTTTTTGATAATTGAAAGTCATTCTATGTAGTCTTCTTTTAAGAAGAATGTGAAATTTTTATGAGTTTTACCGTGGAAATTAGTTTATTCATTATGTTTAATTTTAGGAAATGGTGCTCTTGCAGAACTTTCTGAAAATGTGCATATTTCAGGAGTGTCAACTGGTAAGTCATCTTTTGTAATGTTTAAATTTCATGCATGACTTATATGGTAAATATTGAAAATCACCTGGTATCTTATGAAGTGATATTTGGCTATAAAAATTATTGCTGCTTTTCACAGCATGTAATAAGGAAAGAAGGAACTGGAACATGAAGAACTTCTCATAAGGTTAAGTGATATTGCATGCCAGAGTTCGGTTATCCTTTTCCAAACAGACTACATAATTATTTTCACGTGGAAGTTAAGCCCAGAGAAAAGTCAGCCCAAGTGGTATTAGTATTTTTCTCTCCAAGCAAACTTGTATAAAAATGAAATTAATTTTGAATGTTATGTCTAGAATTTACAGCTGTAGAGATGAAGTGTCTTGTTAGATGTTTTAGATTAGAGGGATACTCCACAGAAGCTGTTCACTTGAGGAGTGACGTGAACAAGTGCACGCTTGTTCCTCGAAGCAGTCCGTTAGTGTGCTGTGTGTGTGCAACTCAGAAGTCACTGGGAGAACCAGCTTCCTATCCACCTGAGACACACCTACTTACTAAGGGCCTCGACCTCATAGTTGACGGACTTCTGGTTTGCTACTGTGTTTGTTCTGTTAACTATAGTTACCAGCATATCGAAACAAGTTATTTTTCATGTATTGAAATAGTTTCTGACACTACTAATTGCTAATAATTCTCCATTTTCCTGTATTGATAAGATTTAGGTTATCCGAATACTGGATTTTTATTATAAATTTTACAATTATTTTATTTTATTTTTTTCCCATAAAGCAGAACTAGAAGTTTGCTGTTTGTTTTGGTTCTCTCTGACTTTGCATTCAGCAAGTTAATAGACTTACCACCCCCTCTAGGTTAGTTTGTATGCTCACTACACCCCACAAACATGCCTGATCTCCCAGAAATCAAAGTAGTAGCCTTATTTGTTTATTTCACTTCCTCATAGGCTTTTAATTGTGTAGTGATTCAATTTTACACGTCAACTAAAAACAAAGATCTTTTCAAACTTCACTTATTTATTATTGTCTGAGTGTGTGTGTATCACATTTTTAATAATTAATGAGAATTATGTTACATTCCAACTCACAATAGGAAATAGTATTGTTTACAGATGCTTTAATTTCTATAACTAAAGACTTGTGTAATTCAGAAGTTTTCAAAAACGATTACCTTGGACTCCCTTTAAATGTTGGTTCTTTCAGCCTGCCATAGCAGTTCAGGTTAAGCAGGTGGTTTAACAGCAGTTTCTTCACAGTTCAGAAGCTAAGCTGGGAGTCCAGAGTTAGGAGTTAGCACGGTTGATTCCTGGCGTCGCTGTGGGCTCACTGACACTTCTGAGAATGCTTAGAGGAAAAGACAAAGGCTCTCTTCCTTTTGTAAGGACACTTAATGTAGTAACCTCTTCGCTAATTTGTGCAGATGGAAATCATGAACACACAGGCTAAAACTCCTATAGCATCAGTACCTCCAAGCCTTGGTTATCGGGACCCTCAGCTCTTAGTGGAAGAAGTCCATGATAGTGTTATATGAGAGACTTCCTGGGGAGATGAAGACACACACAGTCTGCTCACTCCAGACAGGGAGCCCACGACACAACAAAGTACGGATACCACCCAAGACAACTTGATGAGCCATTGGGTTTTATTAGGGTTAACTTAAAAGGATATGAGTAAAGGGTTACTTACAGGAGCAGAAGGACTCAAAGACAGCTGCATCACCAAAGCCCACCCCAGCATGGGTGCCAGCCCACTACACAGCCTGTAGGCAGCTCAGCAAGTTGGAGGGTCCTTCCCGACTGGTTTAGTTGGTCTAAACCTCTTCCAGGCAGTTGGGCTGGTTTGTGTCTCTTTGAGGCTACTGATCTGTTCCTAGTGTCTTTGCAGATTGACCCATCTGAGATTTTTTTTGTTTTGTTTTGTTTTTACTTGTCTAAGAGTGACCCTCTTGTCTAAGAGTGAGCCATTTTTATTATTTACTCTTGGGAGGGAAAGCCCTAGTAAATCTGGCTATTTTCAGGAACTTCCTGAACCTGTTTGTCCACCTTCTTTCTTTCTTTTTACTTTTTTATATTAATTACAGTTTATTCATTTTTTTTTGTCCCAGCCATTGCCCCCTCCCTCAACCCCTCCCAGTACCATCCTCCTTCCTTCATCTCCTCCCATGGCCCTCTCCAAGTCCACTATAGGGGAGGTCCTCCTCCCCTTCCATCTGACCCTAGCCTATCAGGTCTCATCAGGACTGGCTGCACTGTCTTCCTCTGTGGCCTGGTAAGGCTGCTCTCCCCTCAAGGGGAGGTAATCAAAGAGCCCTCCACTGGGTTCATGTCAGAGACAGTCCCTGTTCCCCTTACTAGGGTACCCACTTGGATACTGAGCTGCCATGGGCTACATTTGTACAGGGCTTCTAGGTTATCTCGATGCATGGTCCTTGTTTGGAGTATGAGTCTCAGAAAAGACTCCTGGGCCCAGATATCCTGGTTCTGACAGGAGCCTTATGGAGCTCCTGTCCCCTCCAGGTCTTTCTGTCTCCCCCTTCTTTCATAAGATTCCCTGCACTCTGCCCAAAATTTGGCTATGAGACTCAGCATCTGCTTTGAAACCCTGCTGGGTTGAGTCTTTCAGAGGCCCTCTGTGGTAGGCTCTTGTCCTATATCCAAAATATGCTCAACTACACAACAAGGACATTTGCTCATCCATGTTCATAGCAGCTTTATTTGTAACAGCCAGAATCTGGAAACAACCCAGATGCCCCTCAACTGAGGAATGGATTCAGAAATTGTGGTACATCTATGCAATTGTATATTACTTAGCAATAAAAAAAAAACAAGGTAATCATGAAATTCAAAGGTAAATGGTTGGAACTGGAAAAGCTCATCCTGAGTGAGGTATCCGAGAAGCAGAAAGACACACATGGTATATACTTACTCATAAGTGGATATTAGACATATAATATAGGATAAACATTCTAAAATCTTTACACCTAAAGAAGGAGGTTAGTGGGTAAGATGATCAATCCTCATTCAGAAAGACGAATGGAATGGATATCGGAAAAGGGAGAAAACAAGGAACAGACCATCTTCATTCTTAAAGAGCTTACCTACAGGGTGGAATGTTACCATTAGGGAACATGGACAACAAATAGTCAAAGGGAGTGGTAACTCTCAGTTGCTTCCTGAAATTCTTCCCATAACTGGGCTTGACCATCTCTGAGGTCTTTCTCTCTGCATTCTGTTCCTGGCAGCTTCCTGGACTCTTAGGCTACTGCTTCTGCTTATGGGAGAGGCTAGTAGTCATAGGAGTTGTTTCTTTGTAAAACCAGTTCACCTGCTCTCCCTTGATAGAGACTGCAGATAGATAACAAAACCCTGCATGAGTCTGTGTTGGATAAAGGCTACAGCAGGCGGGGTCCAGTGCACAAGACAGACTGGGGAGAGAGAGGATGCTGCTTGTGTTACTAGATATGCGTGGCTGTTATGAGGGGGAAGTGCTGGGGGGATCTGCTTTGAGGGGGTCAGAGGTTGCGTGTAAAGTCACCTGAAGGATCTAGAGGCAAGGTCATCTAACGGTCTGTCCTCAGAGCTATCACAGTCAAGTCTCCTTAAGCAAAGCAGTGGCCGCGACAACTGCAGGGTTCCTAAGCCTGTAATCAGTCTCCTTAGGGACTAGTGATTGGTCTGAAGTCGACATCTGTCATCACCTGCTGGGTCCACCTTTCCGTGAACTACGGGAAGGTCATCAAAAGAGCATGAAGAATCATGGAGGAAGCAGTGGCCGTGGCTCAGATGAAAATGGCAGGAGCAATGATGCAGTGTGGCTGCCATCCTGATGAACCTTCAGGGGCAAAGGCAGTGGCACCCCTAACCCCATGGGACTCAGGAGCCATGGAGACAGCAGCGCTTGTCCTCAGGAGGAGTTTGCCATGTCTAGTCTGGGACAGTCACCTGGTTTGAACTTTTGCAAAGCTTAACCCCTTGCCTATCCTTAGTGGTTGCTGGTCCCTTCTGGTCTGTCTCATTATTGGGTTGGAAGCCACCTCCATTTAATCTCAGAACCTCTTTTAAGACTGTCTCCAGGACACTGGCATGATTCGCTGGGTAAATGCACTTACCACCAAATTCAATCCTGAGGTCCTACATGGTGGAGAGAGCGAGCCAACTCCTGCATGTGTCCTTCCTCTGAATGCCTCATGTACTCTTTAGCTCAGGTAAAACCCATACACAAAATGAGTAAAGTGGGAAAATATTTTTAAATGAGTTTGCCCTTAAATATTGGGAGCAGATCTTCAGCATGTGAGTTTTAAGAGGAAAATGAATTTAGTTCATGACAGGAAATTTGAAGAATTGGAGTCTTGTTTTGTAGCAGTTCTGGGGATTAAACCCAGGGCCTTGAGCATGTCGGGCAAGTAGTCTTTCTACTACTGAGCCACAGCTCTAGCTCTGTTGTTGTTAAGGTGGGTAGATGGGGCAGGCAAGACAGAGCCCGCACTTTCTTCAAACCAGCTGTGACTAGGTAACTAATCCTCCTGCCTCTGCCTCTCAGATGCTGAGGTTATGTGATTATTGGTGTGTGTGACCCCACCCTTTTGTTGTTTTTTGAGACAGGGTCTTACTGTGTAGCTCAAGCTGTCCTGAACTCCAAGCCTCCGGCCTTAGTGAGGCTGTCATTGGAATTACTGGTACACAGCACCATGTCCAATAAGAGTTTATATGTTGATCGCTGCCAGTATTTACTGTATTTGAAATTAAAGACGAACAATTGCCTTAAATTTTGTAAGTTCAATTTAAAATAACAAGAATGAATTTATTGCAAGCTTGAGTCTATAGCATAGTTTTATTAAAATAGATTTTTCAAGACAAAAGTGTCAACAGTATCATTTTTATAATATTGTAAAACCTTTATTGATGGATTTAAAGTAGATGGATTCTTGACATCTTTTTCTATAGTCAGTGTTTGCAACATAGGCTTTATTTGACACATGAAGATAATGTAATTGGCATGTAAGATAGT